TAATTCAAAATTCAATTATTTTTCAAAAAAGAAAGAAAAGGCAAAACCACGATTTTTTTTACTCTGACCGCTATAGTAAACCCTAAATGGTAATTATGTTGTACTTTTAACCTTGGACCTACTATAGCTTGAAAAATTTACCGAGTTATAGTAAATAATTCAAAATTCAATTTTTTTTCCAAAAAAGAAGGAAAAACAAAGATTTAAAAGTGCAACATAATTATTATTTACTTTGACCTAAGATAAATGATAAACGAAAAAATTAATTTTGAAAATAATGTCAATTTTAAAATTTTATAATAATATTTTTAATTAATAAATAATATTTCAACAATTAAATAATGAAATCTGAATTTTAAAATATTTTTAATGATTTAAATTTTTATTAAAATTTAAATTAAATTGAAAGACCAAAATACCCCTGATTCTGGCATGTCAACAGCCGAAAATAGTGAAATGGGACCAAAAAAGTGTGAAAACATAATGTTTGGGACTATTATATTGAAATGTTAATGTAAGGGACCATTTGGACATTTTAGTCTTCTGGTAATCACCAACACATCTTGAACCACTGAGTCATTATGTTCTAACTCATCAACATGGGGAGGAGTTGTTTGACAATGAACCAAACTTGAATTGCTTTCAACTAGCACATCTTCAACAATAATCTCTTCAATTGTGGTGTCTCATCAACTTCTTCTTCCACTATGTTATCTACTTCCTCCACATGCAAGACCATCTCATCATGATTTTTCTCTTCCTTATATCTCAAGAGGTCAACCATTTTCTAGACCTCTACACTCATAGCTTCATAACTTTTTGTCACTTGGAGAACGATTTGAGTGAGCTCCTCAATCTCTTTTCTTTGCTTCTCTTGGGATATTAGTTTATGAAGGGATGGACTGGAGTTGTAGTAATCCTGCTGATAAAAGTCAAAACAATTATTAGTATAACCAGGATTAAAATCATAACAAGATTAATTTTGTTGGCAACCATCCCAACTAATAAAATTGGGACAATTATTCCAATAATGAAGATTTCCCTGATAAGATGGACAATTTTTCATTAATAGCTCAAAGGTAGGCACACTTTCTTTCAAATCTTACACCTAACTATTGCCTCCCCAGCAACAGCGACAAAATTGATGGGTGTCAAACCAACAATTATTAACCTACTCTAAAACGCAATATAGCGGAAGTAGGGTCGAATCTCACACAGAGGTAAATCAAATATCAAGGTTTCAAATAGTAACCAAAATAGGGTAAAATAGAAAATAAAATCTTAAAGCTAAAGTGATGATGGAGAAAACAAATAAAATGATGCAAGTAAGTTCAATTATTTATTTCCACTTTAATTGCCGAATCAAACCTAAACTAATAGTGGTGAATGAATGTTGGTGGGATCTCCTAATTATATCTTTAAACTCCTTCTGAAGTCATAATGATATCTTTTTACAACTAAAAACATACCTATATTTCTATGGCTGAATTAATTATAAAGTCACTACGATTAGGTATCTCATTTGGCCATCCATGTCTTAACGCTATATTTCTATCTGGCAATAAACCATAAACTTTTATGCTTATATCATGATTTATTCCTCTAAGAGTTAAAATTATATTCCTAGTAATGTATAATTCTTAAACACACACAATTATCAGGGCCATTAATAATTGTATGGAATTAAATCAGGAAAAATAACTATTCATAAATCACCAACAAAATGAGTTTAAGAAATCATCAAACAATATCTGTTCACTCTAAATAATTGAACTAAACAAACTACTCAAAAGACATAATAAAAACTAAGGAAACAGTGAATCCGGGTGTAGGACAGCAGCAAGGGGCTGCTGCCCCTTTCTTTGTTGCGTGACCGCCACCAAGAAGCTTGGAACTCTCCCGTCCCAAGTCTTTCCACAGTCGAACTCCGCAGTCAAAAACTCCTCCTCCCTGATCACGTTTTTTTCTTCTTTTAAATAGCCACCAGTATCATTATTAGGTAAACTCTTTTGGGCTATGAGAAAATGAATTAAATTTATAAGCCCAAATCTTCTTTTAACTCAACTAATAAGTCAAGCCTGTGGCCCACTTGATTACTCCTAGTCAGCCCAAAGTCCAATGTGAAAAGAACTTCACTTGATCAACTTCTTCTTAATTTTCACGGCCAAGCTGAATAAAAGGTGCTAGAATTGCACTTTTGGCCCATTGAGTCTTCAATTCCCATTATATTCCTTCCTTGCTAATTTCCTCAATCACCAACTAGTCCTTAGCTTTCCTTTTCCTTTTCAATTTAATCCAATTTCGTCTCATTTGACTTCAATCATCATCAATCTCCTTAATCCTGAAAATAAATATTTTATTAAGTAAATATTCTTTAAGCACATAAAAACAACAAAAAATCTTAAGGGAAAAGATATAAAAATATATGTAAATATTTGACTCGTCACTGCTTTGTTCGTTTACTAGAAAATTCATTTTAAAAATACCCTTCATGAAAGATTTTTATGAATGATTTTGAACCTTTACGTGATGCATTAGCTACATGTTATGCCAATGCTCCAAGACATTCTTTATCAGAAGGTGATCGAGAATATAAGCGCCATCAAAGATTCCCTTGTTCCTGCCTTTCCAGAGCTCCGATATTATGGAAATCGGAGATGCCATAAAGTCATTTTCTTAGGAGTGCCAAAACTTCCAGTTGACCACCATAATTGTAACATGTTCCACGGAGTATCTGCAATCGGCAAAATTATTCCAAGGAGTTGAGCAAAATAGCACCAAACTTTTCGACTTTCCTCGCAATCTATAAAGAGATGGCGAGTTGAATCTTCGTTATTCCAACATTGAAAGCAAATCGAAGGATTGAATGGATTCTGATGGCCCCATTGATTTTCGAGAACATTAGCAATGTGTTACATAATTTCCATGTAAAAAAAAGAGACACGTATGGGTAAATGCCGATATCAAATGTTTTTCAATGTTGCATCTCTCGTGCCATGTTGCCTTAGCACTTCGTAAGCAGACTTCACTGTGAAGATTCAGATGCTACGAGCCTCCGAATAAAAACATCAATACCGGCTGTAATAGTTTGCTCAAGTGCAGCCAAAGCAGTCCAGGAGGCTGGAGAAAGTTTCGTTGACATTCAGCTCGAAAAAATTCATGATTGTTGAAAAATTCCCGAGCGGAGGCCATGGTTGATTCTCTGATGACATATCCCAAAAAACACCCAATGAGGACCAATTATCATACCAAAAACTCCGATCGCGCTATAGACAAATATCTTTGAATGATTTACAGCAACGGAGTCCATATATTAGTATTTTTCAACAATATATATACCCTTTTTTTATTCATTTTTTTCTTCCTAATCTAAAGAATAAAAATATTTAATTAAAAACACATTCAATTAAAACTAATATCCACATTAAAATAAGAAATATAGTTTAGATTACAAAATAATTTATCAGTATATTTTAGTATATTACAATTTAACTCCGGAGACTATAAATCGTATTAGAACTCTTCATAAAAAAAATTAAACTAAAATATAAAATAGTTAAAATCTTAAAAAATTACTCCAAAAGCACTTATCCTCTGTCACAACAACTTATTACCCTATTATTACCTCTATTCATTTACTTCAAATTAAAATTATATCAAATAAATAAGATTTCTTGCTGAAATGAGATATATTAATATCTTAAACACTCGCCGCAAGATGTTAAACTCGCACAACGATAAGTATACATATTTCTTTGTGAAATTTCTTCTACCAGTTTCACATATGCCGCAACACTATATCATATCGTATTGGGTCAATGTAGAAACGGTTTTTTTTTAACCTTTTGTCCGTACTTGGCCTTGGGTCTCATTTATATTAAAGAAGCAATCTTCATAATTTAATTTTACAAAAATATTAATGTACAAACATGAAAGAAACAAAAACTCTTTAAAAAAGAATTTTAATCTTAGAGGATGTTTGTGATTTATAATTGACGAGAAACGATAATAAAGTTTTGTAATCATTAATCTACATGATGATGATGATGATGATGATGATAAGTTTCAATGAGAATTGAATAACAGTTTAGTGGTTATGGTATTGTATTTCTTGGGAGTAGACTCACATTCAATCCCCACCAACAGTTCGTAACAGAGGACTTTCTCATATTTAAGTTGGATCTACTACGGTAATTTTTCTTTTAAAAAACTATATAGTGATTTTATATATTTTAGAAATAAAATATAGAAATAACAATGAATATATAGAAATATATAGTTTCAAAAGGATTTATTTTGTTGTTTTTATATATTTTGAGGATTATTTTTATAATTTTATGAAATTATTGAGGAGTTTTTGTAATTAACTCTCTTATTTTATTGAGTCAATTGAAACAAAATTGGTGAGATTTCAAACCAATATGGACAAAATTGGTTACGAGAAAATCTTCATAACATTGTTGATGCCTAAAAAGTTTTGTGTATGGAATGAGGTGTTGGTTCAGTGGTAAAATCAGTCTTACTCTCAGGAGGAAGTCATGAGTTCAAACCCCCACTCCAACAAGGGTGGCTCTAACGTTGCCAATGGGCACTTTTAGAGGGTTTGTTATGGCAAACCCACTCATAAACCTCCAATTTCGCACCCGAACTTGTCACCTCAGGCTTGTCTAAGGTAGTTTACCTCTTGATTTCACACCCGAACTTGTCATCCCAGACTTGTCTATGATGATTTACCTCTGTCACCTCAGGCTTGTCTAAGGTAGTTTACCTCTTGATTTCACACCCGAACTTGTCATCCCAGACTTGTCTATGATGATTTACCTCTGTCACCTCAGGCTTGTCTAAGGTAGTTTACCTCTTGATTTCACACCCGAACTTGTCATCCCAGACTTGTCTATGATGATTTACCTCCCATTGTGGTTTGCAGATTATTGCAATAGGCGTGAGATCCATCTCAGTTGGGGTTCCCGGCGTTATTAAAAAAAAAATTTGTATAAGATCGCCAATTTTTTTGCTTGAAAATAGATATGGAAAACAGAAAGTTATGATTCCCTTTCAGAATTCTTAGTTTTACAAAGAGTATGTTCTTGACTTAGTACGTATTTACATAATGTCGGTATATATCACCGTTACCAAATATAACAAAACCGTTGCGTGTCTGCTGTTTCATATTCTGGCCAAATCTTGTTCCTATCGGAACCAGTTTAGTAGTCTTTCCTTTTCAAGGTTCTTGTAAAGTTCCTCATTCCTTGTAATCTTGCACTTCAATCTCCACGGTATTCGAATTTTCCTGGTCAGGTACCATTGCACAAAGGAACATTTACAGATCATAGATGTATAAAAGAACAAATGTTGGTTTATTTGGTTTGGTCTCTCAGTAAGATCATGATTATGGCCTCCAAGCAGCTGGTGGTGGCGGAGGAGTAGGGAACATGGGCGGGACTGCAGAAAACATGGTGTTCTTGTCGATTTTCTCGCTTCCATCCCCAGAGAGAGCAATCAAGGCAGCAACAAGACCAGCATTGCCGGCAAGTGTTGGCTCTGTGTAGTTGTAGTTCGTGCGAACATCATGGAAGCCATCAAACTTGTCTGGGCCTCCAACCATTGCACCGACGAGTATATTAGGATTAGGCTTTGACGAATCTCTATATTTGTATCCTCCATTACAATTAGGCCTGGCACTCTTGGGGATTGATGCCCCCCTGTGGTGGACATGCTTAGGATAATGATTGCCAAATCCCACAAGATAGCTCATCTTCCTGGGGTTTTTACCAAGTACATAGTTGATCTAAAATCAGCAGAAAAGGACCATGTTAGCGTCAGCAAATGATGCTAGAAACGCAAGTAAAGCCACAAAATGGGAGCATTGAGTACCTGTGTCTGAGCAAATTTGCGCAAAACATCAATGGAGTAGAAATTGGGGCCACAATACCACCCAGGGGTATCAGCAGCTTCAAGATAGTCACTGAACAAGGCGGCAAGGAAAGCAGCATTAACTGCATGCTGCAGAGGCTGAGGATCTCCATGGTTTAATTGAATCAGGCCTCCTGCAAGACAGTAAAAACTTTAAAACCAAGCTCTGGATGCTTGAACACTTCAACATCTATAATCCAAATGATGAAGCACTACCTCTTGTCCTGTTGAAAGATGTGAAATATGGTAAGTATGAGCACATGACTATACTGGTTTGATTGTGGAATGTGCTCAGAATTTCTTCATAAGGATACCCAGGGCTCAAAAATAACCTCATTCGGCTCAGAAGCACCTATATGAAAATACAAAAATGTCGATTGGTAGGAAACACAACATCTCTTAGTGCTCAACAATTAACACAAATGGTAACTGAAGCCATATAAGAGCAAGTCTATAAGCAATATCATTAGATTGATTGTGGTCATTAAAAAGCTAGACAGAAACCAATTCAGATCAGGAAAAGTAAGTCACAAGGGGACAGCAAATTTGACAGATAAAAGGGCAGTTCCATCGCAGAAAAGAACGAGAACACTTTACTGGATGTAGATAACTGTTTTATGCATTCTTAGGGAGTGAAGCCATCAGATCACAATTGACAGGCTCATCAGAGATAATTTTCAGAAATAGCTCAAAAAACAGGAAAATGAGAATCATTCAAAAATAGTTTGAATCACATCTCACAGCAATTTAAGCACTAAACTAGTTATAACCATGGACCAGTATCTACGTCAAAAATATGGGTCAAACGAAAGGAAAATACTTTGATACAAATAGAAACTCCATCATTTACCTGCGCCCCAGGAAGCTTGCTGTCCCAGTTAAATACACCATAATTCGGTCCTCCCCAGAAAGCGCCAGCATGTTTGGCAAGCCCAGGTGTAGTAGCAAGTGTCAGATATGTTGCATTTCCAGTGGCATAATAAAGCCAGGACGCACCCCAGATGAATTCATCCCAATACATGGTAGAATTATAAAACTTTTCAGCATCCATACCAGCACTATATCTGCCACGCTGCTCTCTTGAAAATTTGTAAAGAGCTTTAGCACCATGGACAAGTTTTTGCGAGTATACTTTATCATCCTTAAAAACAATGGAGGCTGATGCCAACGCAGCAGCCATCTCAGCAGAAAGGTCTGAGCAACTATGGCACATTTGCACAGGCCTTTCGTAATTAATGTCCTCTGGGCGCATCCAACAGTAATGGTCATTCTCATTTGATCCTTTGGATGTATCCCCAACTCCGACCTATCAGATAAATATTGGTTCCATAAGCTGGCGGGTGATGTTAATTTAAAAATCCTTCAGTGGGAAAGAGGCTAAAAGAACTTATCAAACGTATTCCTATAAAAGCAGAATATACTAAATGATGGCCATCAACATAGACCATTATAATACATATTCATCAGAGTGAGGTGGGTGAAAGAGAGAGAGAGAGAGAGAAGATTGAGAACAAGAGACACATATCTGTGACCAATATTTTAGCAGTTTGATAAGTTGAAACAGATGTCAATGTCATCAATCAGCCAAAGCAAAATTACCTGCGCAGCAAGCTGATCAATTGTATCGGCAGTAGAATTGAAACACTTGAGGAAGTAATCTGTGCCCCACTTAATGATCTCTTTAACATGTGCGAGCTCCCCTGCAGCTTCATACTTTGCACTATATTCAATCACACTCCAACTTAAAAGGGTCATGGCGAATGATCCAGGGAAATGGAACTTGATCGCATCCCCAGCATCATAGTAACCACCCACCAGATCTTTAATAACTGGTGCAACATTAGTTTTACCATCATTCATGCACGAATTCCCCCTCCAGGATACATTATTATGCTTTGGCAATTTTCCAGCTGTCAATACAGATACAGAGTATTAGGAAGTGTGAAACTAAAACCCTCTAATCATAAACAAACACCAGTATTAGGATAGTAAATATCACTATCCAATAGGCTTGCAAAGTCTAAAGCTAGTTTGTAATCAGCCGAAATAGATTACTTAAAAGTTCAATCTCAAGTCAAATTTCAGAAGTCAACACGGAGAACATACAAACGCCAGTCTGCGTTTCATAAAAGCAGCTGAAAGATGATGATCTGTAGTGACCAGTTCTCCAAAACAAAAAGGACAATATAGAGATACAGTACAAAATTACAATGAGAGAGACTTGCACTGATCCACCGACACCAACATAATTCGTATTTAGTATGTACAGATCCCCAGCGTTTTCAAATTCCCAAATCTAAACAAAACATAATCTACCCACCGACACTTTTGCTTCACCCCAAACTCCACAAACACTCGAATTAGTACTCAAGAAATAGCAGAAGTTACACTTATTAACACGCAAATGTGCATCAAATTCAGAAACCCAACAAAGATATGAAATTGGAAAACGGAAGAGTAAAAGAAAAAAAAATAAAAAAGAAACATATGTTTACTTACAACGCTGGGCATTGAAGAACATAAGAGCCTTATGCAGAGCCTGAGTATAATTATCCGGCGGCGGAGCATGGTGGTGATGCCTAGGCACAGTTTTAACAATCAAAGTGATGAACCCAGCTAGCAAACCGGCAGCAAGAATCGATCCAACAGTCCAAACAAAGAGCTTCCTGCTGACAATAACGCAGCCCAGATCCACATACTTCTTCTTCTTCTCCTCCCCAGGGCCCAACAGCCAACTCTGCTGGGTTTCGTCTAGTGGCCGAGACAGAGCAGCTCGATCAAAATCACCCAAATTCCTGCTCCTATCATCATCTGTAGCTGAATCGGTGGCATTGATCTCCAACGGCCCACCCCACGGATCCCTCCCGTACATAGTTGTTTTTGAATTCCCACCTCTACAAATTCACAAAATGCTGGAAATGATTTGCGATTAAATTATGAGGTAGTTGAGGAGGAGAGAATATGAAGCATTCAGGAATTTCTGGGAAGGTGGTAGTAATAGGATTATTGAGATTTGAGGAGAATTCTGATTCTGGTCTGTAATCTGATCAATGCAGCTGGTTGTTATTGTTTTTCGATTTCCACTGTGTGAGTGTGTGTCGGTGAGTCTTTAGAATTTATTTTGCTAGTTTAAACTTAACTTTAAACTTTGATGTGAGGAGGGAGATATGAAGAAAATTCATTAAATGAAAAAAAAAAAAAAACTCTTTCCTCCCAGTTTAATAGGCTGATTTTTTTATCCCACAAAATATAGTTAAACTTCTATAAATTAATATAGTTGGGCCTCTAAAATTTAATTTCTTTATGGAGTTTTTCAATAAATTAATAATTTATTTATTTAACGAGTTTTTTTCAGTTCTATTAATGAACAAATTGTGAACTTTTATTATCTTCATGAGGGAAAAGTTGGTTGTAAACATATCTGTATTATGTTAAGTTTTTTAATGACAAAATGATGATAACTGCAAACATAAAAAATAATTAAACTGAAATCTAAGATAATCTATAAATCTAATTTTTTTAATTTTAGATAGTTTTTAATTTCTTTAATTATGAGGACCTATACTTAAATATAAATTTCTTAAAACTTATTATCTTATAAATTAATCGAATTTTTTTATTTTGTAAATTGGTCCCGAGTTGCGACAAACAAAAAAAATATTATCTAATGGAGTCTATTGATTTATAGAGGATCACTTTATGGAGATTTTACTGTAGGTTTATTTCCATATATAAGATTTATTTTCTAATAAAATTTCAAATATATCCTTAACTCAATTAACCACTTGAACATTATGGAGAGTATTTGGATCAATATTTTCAAAATCGAGATTTCACGCAGGATCATTTTGGCGTCTCAGGATCGGATCAGATTCTAGATCGGTTCATAACCATTTAAAATATTATATATAATTCTGAAATTGCGAGTTTCAATTTGTTAGTTCAATTCTTGTTTAATTTTATGGAGGAGAACTAGACTAGTGCCCGCATAAGTATTATCAACTCAAAATTTTAACTTTTATATCTTTTCAAATCATTTCCCCCTCTATTTATATGAAATCAACAACTTATACAAGTATTGACAAAATCAATGGTATCGTTGGATCGTAGGATCCTACGATCCGGATTGGGATTTTGAAAGATTCCATAAGATCCCACTACAAAGAAGAATTGCATAAGATCCAGGATCAATTTCTTAATTTCGGATCGCTGGATCGTAAGATTCTAAGATCCGGATCGCTGGATTGCTGGATCGTGAAATTTTAAGATTCGAATCGGGATTAATGGAATGAGCATAATTTGGAATTAATTAGCCCTATTGGTTTAACCATTTTCAACAAAAAATTAACGCTTTAGTTCACCAAATTTTAATGTTTTCATGAGGATATTTTAAGAAGTTTAAGATAAAGATTATTAGTTAAATTAGTTTTATTAATTTGTACCAAAATTTGTATAAATTTGCTGAGTGGGAACGGAGGTAGTAAGAGGAAGAAGTTGGTGGTTGATGGTGACGTGCCCGCTAATAGACACATAGTCATTCTAATTTTCTAAAGAGAAAATAACATCTACGATAAGAACACTAATAATACACTTCATGTGAGGCTCGTTAATTATTAATCCTTTTTTTGGGTTAATTTTTACCCATATTGTTGTTACTTTTTAAGTACTACATCATTTATTCACCGTAATTCAAGATTATTTGGAGAAGCTCAAGGTAAGCTTAAAAGAAAGAGGCGCCACCTCCTAATGATTGAACTACAAGTCTACAATAATATAGCATTTAAAAATAATTCTATAAAAGTGGCTAATCACTTTATTTGTAGAATTATTATTGTAGAGTTATTGGTCATCTTTATAGAATTGTTAGACATGTATGCTTATTGTGTGTTTAACCCATAAAGTAATCGTGTACTATGTAATCGCCAATGTAACGAGTCTGTATCCAGTGCACCCGGGAATACCGTGCACCCCAAATCGGAATCAACAAAATTTGGCGGCTCTTCTTCTTCGTCAATAAATCCGACACCCCAAATCAGAATCAGAATCCATCGGAATCCACCGCCTCTTCTTCTTCGGCCTTCTCGTTCAGCACCGCCACTACCAAAATCGACTCCCGTGGCCGCTGGAATCGCAGGTCACCAACCGGCCCCGACTTCGCCGCCCCGCCGAACATGCCGGTTTTTATAAGGTAAGTCCTTTTTTTGTGTGTGTGTGTGAGGAGTGTGTGTGTGAGGAGGCGATTGGGATCAATTGGCCGGAATTCTTGGGGTTTAATTGAATGCGGTCGGGGGTGCACCGCCGGAATTTGCAGGGGCACCGGAAATGGGTAGCTACATAGAAGCACATCTAAAAAAAGTGTGGATAACCAGTTTACACCCTGTGGATTACTAGTATAAAATAGGTGGATAACCACAAACAAAGTTTGGATAACTAGTTTACAACTTGTGGATAACCAGTTTACACCTTTTGGATATCCAGTTTACAACTTGTGGATAACCAGTTTACACCTTCTGGAAAACCAGTATAAAATGGGTGGATAAACAGCAATTATAGCTTGGACAACCATCACATAATATTGCTGTTAATTAAAGAAGAAAACTGTGTGTGTGAGGAGAGTGTGTGTGTGAAGTGGCAGCTGGGATCATCGGCGGCCGGAATTCTTCAATTAGAATTCATTTTGGAAAATTTGCAGGGGGTATACGGTGCCCCTAGTGCACCAGATAATTTGCCAATGTAACCATTACATAATCGCCATTGCACGTAGTATTTTAAACCACAAATAAACAGCTAAAATGACAATATTATATACAGTCTTTGAAACTATTGAGTTACAATTAGTTTTAATGGGTTTAATTTTTTTTAACAAAAAAGATAGTTCAAGCCAAAAGTTAAAGTCACAATTGTTAAAAACAAAACAAACATTGAAGTCACAATTTTGACAAAACCACCCAAAAATTCAATAATATAATTTCAACAATCAACACGTCGTATTGGACTTGGAATTTCATGTTTGTGATATTAGTGTCGATTTGTAAATAATAAAATTTAAAGTTTCAGTTCATTTCAAAATGAATTAAAGCGTGCAAAATGTACCGATTACAAAATGAGGTGAGTTCTGTAAGTCGTCACAACTAGGAGCCGGAAAACCTTTTTACACAACAAATTGAACAAACGAGTATGGCAGAGGTTTTTGGCTCCATGGAAAATCCATCATCCACGCTGGTCGGTCGCCTTGTTTGACTTGGATTAATGTTCCATCCGTCCAAAAAAAAAAATCACATTAAATATTTTTGTAACAAATTAGTGTAAATTTTATAATTTTATGTGAATTATTTTATTTTTTTTGAACAAAGGTAGAATTTTTTAAGTTTATGAAGGTTTTTCCAACTTCTCTAGAGTTATTCATGGTTGTGTTACTATTAAATTTTTTTTATATATACTCTTTAAATAATGAACGGATAAAGGCTTCCGCTCGGTTTTCCCCAACCAAACATCGCATTTCATAAATTTCGATATATCAGTACCGACCAATTCCAGTACTACAACTACAACACCTTACCTATTTTAAGATTGAAAATTTTGGACATAATCAACCCATTTATTGGGTCAAGATGGTAAGGAGCTTGACATGCTTTAAAGTTTAAACAAGGAAATGTAAGAAAATTTCCTCTATAGTTCACTGACTCCAATCATGCAAGAAATCTTCGCAAAATTTGGTGTGGGTCTCACATTTGGACGAGAGATCAGGATCTCATAGCCACAAACACATTCATTCATTTTCATCTTTAAGAATTATTATTCGGGATCGGGACCTTTATAACGCACAATAACTCATTATGAATACTACGAGACGAAGTACCGGATTACAAGTCATCAGGTATGGCTCTCTTATTGAGCAAAATAGATCATTACTTAGGGCCTAAAATTGGAAGGGCTCGTATATTAATATTGAAAAAACTTAATTTTAATAAATATTTATAGAAAATTAAAAAATTTATTAAAATAAGCAATTTGATGAAAAAGTGGAGAATGAAACTATTAAACCCTTCAAAATTTTCAAAACTAATTATTTTCTTTACATAGTTAATAGAGCTATCTCATAACTATAAAGTAAATTTGAAAATCTTAAAATCTACTAAAATATTTTTGGTTTCTATTTATTTTGAAAAAAAATAAAATTACGTGATGATTTTTTTTAAAAAAATAATTGACTTAACTTTTAAACTCCTTAAAACATAATGATAGTTTAGATATTAATGGTTTACATCTATTTTATGAACTAAAAATTTTAAGGGATAATGTAAATATTGAGAATAATAATCCAATTGACATACTTAATTTTATTAAAAGACTTAATTCTTTTTAAATGTGTATATTGCATATAAAATAATATTAACTATTTCAGTAACAGTTGGTTTAGTAGAAATAAATCTTTCAAAATTTAAATTAATCAAAAAAATTGCTTAAGATTGACAATGTCACAAGATTGTTTAAATGGATTGGCTATTATGCCAATGAGAAAAAAGACTTAGTAGAAGACATAGATCATGAAAATTTCATAAAAGAATTTGAAATTAAAAAGCTAGAAAGTAAGACTTAATATAAACAATACTTTAAATAAATTCTAGAAAGATAAACTTAATATCAATAATATTTGAAAAATATTTTTAACTCCGCTTGTTATGAGCTCACAGGCTTATAGTTGTCATCCCAAGCACGAAAAATGAGGAGAGTTAAATTTTTTTTCATTTTTTTAAAATTTTTTTATTATCAAAAGGTCTCGATTATAAAATTCGCCTTGGGCCCCAAAAAATGTTGAGCCACCCCTGCGAGCCATGAAGGGGAAAGACAAATATAAAACAATTAAGGATGCAGTTTCAACTTTCAACCAAACTAGATGCTTGCCCCGGGCGAATGCCTGGGGTGTCGCCTGTTTTTTTAAATTGATTAAATAAAAAATACGAATCATTCTTAAAAGAATAAAAAAAAATAGAAGAATAAAAAATCGATTGAAAGGACAAAAAGTGAGCTATTACACATAAATCTATGCCCAGATTTACAACATTTAATTTATAACAATTAACTTATGCTCGGGTTTACATAAATCATAAATCAATATCTACAACAGAAAAATAAAAAAAAATTATCCTTAAAAAATCAAATTTCTTTCATGACAACTTATTTTTTCTCTGTTGTAGAAAGAAATGAATTGATAATTGATGTCAGATTTTAAGTAATTGATTTAAAGGCTCGGGTGTAAGAGAGGAGCGGAATGGAAGAGATTCTTTGAAATTGGGGATTGGGAAGACATTACTGATGTTTCACTTGATTTAAGGGGATATTCTAGTATTTGATTTTATCAACTAAATATTATTGTTTTAAAGGATTAGTATATACCTATAAGTAAGATATTTTTATGTAGCT